ATTTTGTCTAACCTGCTGTTCCCACCTTTTGCTTTGTTTTTTTTTATTTTATTTAAGCAGAATACTGTAATCTTATACAAAATGCAAATGCAAAAAAAATACTGTAATCTTATACAAAAAAAAATGCAAAAAAACTTCTTTCAAAATTATTCCATCCTCGAAAATCCCTTCTTTATTGTAAACCATATTGAAACTCTTGGTACATCATACTATTCTTAACTTTCTTAATATAAGGGTAAGGACTCACATTGCTTGTTACAGGCAGCTCCTAACATATGTCATGTTCCACATCCCTAATAACTTTTAAATATTTCAATGGCCTGGTCCATTGTCCACCAGCAGAAACATACAAAAAAAGTTGCTTGAAAAAAAATTATCTGTGTGGCTTGCCTAGAGCAAATTTAAACTCCTGAAAAGGTGATCACTAGTTACAATTATTTAACAAATAATTATTAAGCAGTTAAATTGGCCAGGTTGCAACAGCAAAAAAAAAAAAAAAGTAAGTCCATAAATATTTTTTCACCTCTCCCAAGCCATTTTATATATCAGTTATTTGTAATTTTCCACTCACGCTGTCTCATATGGATGCTTACAGAAAGCTAATAAATGACACAACAAATCAGATAAATTCTTGGATATTTGAAACAAAGTTTCATGTGCTTTCCAGAGTTATTACTTCAATGGTAAATAGATTTTGTCCATGTCCTTTCTAAAACGAAAAAGAAAAGGTATAAACAATCTACTGTGTTATGATTCTCACTATTCTCTACTGAAATTCTTTCCCAGTATCAGAGATATACTGCAATTCCAGTAATAAGCTGTACTTGGATTTATGAGCAAAACACAGTGTAAATCATGACATGAAGACACGTAATTTTGTTTTCTATGACTCATCAGGTTTTTTCCAGTTCCCACCTTGATATCTAAAAATACCCCCTTTTTAAAAAATTTTTAATTATTGTTTTTAGGATAAATTGTATGGCCCAGACACTCCAAAAGAGAATACTTTTCCTCTGATTGAACAGCTGTTCTCTTCTGAGTTTTCATTCTTTCTTTCCCCTGTCTCTTCTCTGAGAGTTGAAATAGCACTGAACATTTTCACTGATATTTTCTGATCCTGCTAGAATACTTCTGGTAGAAAGAAAACCTACATCAGAAAATAAAAAGTAACCTACTGAATTTTTTTCCTAAATTCTCAAAAATTTATTTAAAAAATAATGATTTGCAGAACCTGTCATCCTAGAATTAGGATTAGGATTAGAATTAGAACAATTTTTATTGTCTCTACTGGGTTAAATGAAAAAAGAGTAGCAATAGCATTATTCAGTTGCTCGAATCCAGAAGAAAGCAAGAAGTGCCACTCAGTGCAATAATTCTGTTTTTTATAAATTGATACACAACAGGAAATATAAAATCCCTTCAAGAATTTCTGTGTTATTTTATATCCCCAGAAATCAGCATCACCAAAAGACATAAGGATTTGCTTTTGACTTCAGTGAGTATGGAAACAGATTCTATATTTCAGGTGGGGTTTCCACTAGACAAAATATTCAGCAGGACAGCAGAGATGTAACCTTCTCCTAAAGGCAGGCTCTCATACACCAGCTCCTCTCATTTTGCTAGCTCTTAATGTTCTTCTTGAATGCCTGAGGAGCTTTATCTTCCTGTTTGGCACAGTTCTAAATTGGCTTAAATCATATTTATCCAATATTTACCTGCATTATATTTTCAAGGATAATTTGTGTCCTTCTCCCAGAGCATTTTTTTTATTTTTTGTGCTCTGTAGGTCCACTCTGGCCCTGTTCTTACTCAGCAATCTGAAGCTGCCTGTGAGCTGTGAGCAGGGTTGGTCATTGGCATCGCCCTGGATTTCTTTTCTATGCTGACAAGACACAGATATTGTCAACCAAACCAGCAATTTCAGATGATGCTATTACCATATTGACAAGCTGGTAAGCATAAAAGCCTCTACAAGCATCAATTTTCTTCAGTTAAAATCAGAGAAAAGCCCTGAGCTGTTCATGGCTGGCTCTTGCCATCAACCCACACACTCTTGAACTTCTAACCCAGCTTTAAAATTCAATGTAAGTTCATTGGCTAAAAACCCTATATGTTTTATGATTGCAAGCTCTTCTTTCAGTGTTGCAGTCAAAAGATTAAGGCTTCTTATTATTAGTTGAACTAAATGTGCTTTGCTTATTGCTCACTCATGCTTTTATGTTCCCTAGGCTAGATTATTTTAATGCCCAGCTTGTTGATCCGCTGAGGAGGCCGATTATCAAATTTCATCTTGTGTAGCAAGTGCTGTTTCCAGAGCAAGTATTGTACAGACTAATGCATGTTTCATACCTGCTGTTCTCTCACAGTGGTCACTAATACACCACAAAATCTATTTAAGCTGCTACTGCTCTTGTACTACCAAGTTTTTTCATGAACTTTGACTTATTATAAGAGATATTTGTCAGGGGGCTACCAGGTTAATGTAATGGAAGCTTTATCACTGACTTCAGACAAAAAAAAAAAGAGATGTAAATCCACATATTGTCTACTCATGATCTTAAAGGTAATGCATGGGCACTGGGTGGTGGATTTCTGCTTGTATCCTGTATTTATTTCAGAAAGCGTTGGTGTATCCCAAACTGGCAGATTCAGAAGCACTTTTCAGCCCCTGAATCTCAGTGTTTGTGCACTGTGGCTACACCCTGTGTATTGAAATAAGACTATGTACAGGCACAGTTTCTTTGCAAAGTCTGATTTTCTTCTAAAGGAAGACGTCTCATGTGCCACCACCCTTCTGCCAGGCTGATCAGAGCACTAGGACTGACAGAGGCACTCTGGGCTGCTCTGCCTGCTGATGGTCTCAGTATGCTCACAATTTGCATTGTGTTCTGAGGTGTTCTGGCTTCAGCTATGTCTGACAGCTGCCATGAAATGCTTAAAAAGTGTTTCATGTCTAAGCTGTTTGATTTTATTTCGCTCTTCCCTGTGAAAAAGAAAATATTAACAGTTTTTTTCCCAGGACTCAGCTCTTAAATGACCAGAACTTAAAACTTCCAGAATTGTGTCATTAGAACCTTTCCTGAGAACACAGAACTTCAAGAGCCAGTGGTAGGGAGTAAGAGGATTTGTAACTCTCTAGCACTGAAAACAAAGGTAATTTCACAACAGACTGCAGAATTTATTGCTTATAGGAAGTCATTACAAGAGCAAGAATTTCTGCAAAAAAAAAATTCTGCCACCATTTAAAAGGAAAAGGGCAGTTGTAGAACCCCTAAAGTTGTAGCTAAGAATATGAGCCTACACAGATTACACTGAAGCTTAAAATATTTTGGCTCTAGAGTCTGCTGTAATGAGAATATATAAACTGAGAGAGCTGAAAAGTATTTAATTTAGATGGCAGCCTACAAAAATTAATGTGAAAATGAGAATTGCTTAGGGGTAATAGATTGAGGGTACAAGACTCATTTTTTAAGTGTTAACCTTTTACATGACAGTGTGATACTGTAATTAAAATGGCAGCATTCTTTGTTTGGGGAATTTATTTTACATTCTTAATTGTTTTGTAATTCCTAGGTTATGATTTTTTTTCCTGGCAAATTCTGACTGACAGAAGTTAAGGATTTTTTCATATCAATACAATGGAATGAGTGAGCTTCATTGTACTAAGCAAAAGATTAAGCAGCAGCTTGTTTTAATTGCTGTAAATTATTAAATTAAATTATTCTTGGATTTTAATATTTGTTCTGGTCTATCATGAACGTGAACATGGAAAATCAATTGATTTCTTTCTAGTAACTGGATGCTTAAGAATTTACCCCAAACTTTGAGCCCCTTTGATGTTCAAAGGCTGAGATCAGAGATGAGAAGAGAAAGAGTGGAGACCTCTTCACAATATTTTTACCTTTGAAGTCTCAGGTTAAAAGTACTATTTCTGTGTGCTTAAACAAGCAAGAGAATGAAGGATAAGATCATGAATTATGATAACAGACAAGTGACAAATGTTTTGCATGAAGTACTTTTCCTTGTCAGGAGAGAGAATGTTCTTCTAAGAGATTTCCAAAGAGATTGGCAATTTGTAGAGTCAGTTATTGGGAAGGAAGAGATATATACTGTATTAGGGTTTAACTGTTTAAGTGGGAATAAAAGGTTCATTTGGAGCTTTTCCCCTTGTTTCCCTCTACATTTCACACAAGTGGTTGAAAACATGCACATTATCCAACTGTCAACAAATCCCCTAGACTCAAGCCTGGAACAGTACATCCCACGTTTCCCCCATGAAAACCTTTCGTGAAAGCTCCTCTGTCATTCAAGATCATACTATTCCCTCCCCTATTTATTTCTAAGTGTCACTCAGCTCCATTCCACCAGCTTGGAAAAACGTCAAGAACTTTTATCTTCAGAGTCAGTTGCCAGTTCTGTTTAGTGAACAAGCCAGCAGGGACCTCTGGTGCCATCAATGCAGCTCTGTCAATGCCCCTCTCTTTAGGGATGGAGTATATCATTATCCCGATGGCTGGACTGAGAAAAGCTGCGTTTTTAGAATAGTTCTCAGGGAGCAGTTACTGGAAATCTCCTCCCTTGAGACAGACTATTGGCAACAAGTTTTGCTGCTGTGACATGAGGTATTGCATCAAGGCCCAATCCTGCCACTAATAAAGTTAGTGGGAAACGTGCCATTCTTTTCAAGCGAAGTCAACAGGATTAGTGTAGCAAATCGGGGCTAAAAAACGTACCTTGCATCTACAAATGCAAATGGAAAGTCAGGTCCCAAGTGAGAATGTCATTTTATGTCTGGTTTCAGAATCTGGCCATGTGTCAAATCAGAGTAAGTCCCTTCCCCAAATTTAAAACTGACATTATAGAACAGGGAAGTTTTATTTTCATATTGAAACACTTCCATTTTTGGTTTTGGGGGTGTTCATTTAAGTTCGCATCTAAAATAAACCAAGAACAGATTGTTTCAGTTTTGGATTTCTTCTTCCTCTTTAAAAAAACAATTTGTTTCCTCTAAGACAAGGCATACTCATGCTACAGATTTTAATTCTTTTCAAAACTATTTTGTGATAGAAAATGCTTCACTCTATGCTTTTCCTTAACCAGCTCCAGCAGACTCTTTTAATTACCAACAGACACATTACCCAGCTGTGCTAGGAAACATTACTTAACCTGCTCAGCCTGAATGGAGAATTTCTGTTGATGTCAGCTGTCAGACCCACAGGCTCTTGACTGCACTAACAGGTAACAGTCCCACTGTCTTGGCAAGAGCTCTTTTCCTATTGAGAAATAACATGGTGCTGGGTTATTTAAATTCATATATGTGTATGTGTGTGTGTGAGTGTGTTGGTTCATTTTTTTCATAAGACATTATCATACTTGGCAATACTGGCTTTAATTCTACTTAAAATGACAGAACTGGATGGTCATCATTTTTAATGGGTAAAATCTATGCAGTTCATCAGAGGTGCTGTAAAATCTAATCAGAAATTAGACTGTAAAATTGATAGGCCTATATTCCATATAATGCTGTTTTATAAATCTGGAATGGTAGCAGATTTGGAGTTTCACAATGGTGCAATTCAGCAATGGTGGAATCTTCAATTTAAACAAATAACATGTGCAGTAACTGGTACCCTGTGCCAAAGAGCTACTGGCTGTGTTCTACTTTGAGTAGCAGGGTACCAAATCCTTTCGTTCCATGCCTGGGCTTTCATTTGAGTGCATTTCTACACCACAACTCTAGGCTATGGGATTAAAAAAAACCAAACTGAGGCAAAGTTATGCAGCAGAGGTTAAGAATGGCTGTGAGACACTGATTTTGACCACGCAGCCCTTGTGTGCCAATAACCAGGTGATGGGAGGTCCAGGTGACGGGAGGGCAGCGCTAACCCTCGGGAGAGGAATGACGGGGAGAGATGGACAGGAGGGGCAGGAGGCAAGCTGAGGGAGGTGAAGATGGCTGTGGGAAGGGGAGCAGAGCCAGCAGCCCCCCGGCAGTGCTCGGGAACCCGGCGATGCTGCAGCATCCCCCGCTCCCTGCATCCCCCATCCCCAGCAGCCCGATGGGAGAATCCCAAGCGGGACTCCCGCAGGATTTTCCTCCCCGTGAGAGCAGCAGGGGGGGAGAGGGGCTGCCGAGCCGGAGCCTCCCCTGCCCCCGGTAGGATCGGGCAATCTGGCGGGACATATGTGACATATGTGACATTATGTAAGGAGCGGCTGCTGCCGGCCGTGAGCGATGGCAGGGAGGCAAGAAAAGACAGCAAACCCTCTTTCCCCCCGCTGGAATGAGGCACTGGCAATGGTAATGTGCGCGATCTTAACGCCGAGCATCTCCCTGTAATGATTATACTACAAAACCTCAGGGCTCATCTGCAGAAACATCCCTTCTGCCAGAGTCCTCTGCGCAGACATACTTATAAAAATTGGTGTGAGGCGGAGATTAAATAGATAAGAGCATAAAAACAGATTATAGAATAAATACAGTCTTGTAGATCGGTTCAATGCAAGGCAGGAACTCATGCTTCTGATTGTCCTGAGAAATTCTGTAATGCTGGGCAGATTCCTACACCACATTTCCCAGAGTGAAAGGCCTATTTCAACTCTTTCTCTACCTTATCCAAATTCTGTAAATACAACAGAAATACCTTCACTGTTGTCTAGCCTATGGATCCCAGTTTAGTCTTCAAACTTGGAACAAACAATTATCAACACATAAATATGCTTCCTTTTGGTTTTGGATTGTGTACTCTTCTGTAGATCCTGCTATTATGCCATTCCAAGAAAAAAGTTTTTACCAAAGGCAAAAGAGCAGAATCTTTTTTAACAACCTGATAGAGAATAAAACACAATGAAAAAGATACTTTTTTTAAAAATCCAGTTAACAAAAAATCCTTGAGTAATATTTCTTTATATTAGTAAAACCATTGCCTGAAGTAATCATGTCTTACACCATTAGTACACAGCAGCACAAAACAAGGTGAAAACCTTTGAGAAAGAACTTAAAGGAATGAATTTGTAACACAAGAATGAATCTGTAACGCTTTCTCTCTGTCACAATTGCACATTTAAGAGGCCTCTGCTTTACCAGTGGCAATTCAAAGTGACAATTCCTAGCTTAGTGCTGTAGTCTTTTAGCTACTATTATAGAAACTGTAGCTACACAATATTTAAAGTGAGCAATTTTATGAAGTTAATTGTGTAATATTGTTTATGAATTTAAACCACACAATTAATGTATTATTCACAGACACGCATAATGGACTCTTTGTATTCAATGATGGTTTAAGAAAAAATGTAACTGATTTTGGAGCTACAATGATTGATTTATGAGGTAAAATTAAAAGTGCTAAGTGTGCATTACTTGTCTACTCACCAGCTAAGTGGATGGGGGTGGTATGAAAAATATCTATATATAACTAATTGCAATGCATGGATATCAAGGAATCAGAGAAATATTTAAAGCAAAGCAAAAGGATTACTTTAGGAGTAAATGGTGAAGATTTAAGAAAGGCAATTGGCTATCAAGGGAAACCAGACAAAAATTAGATGTTCTTGCCTATAAAAATGCTCTCTAATATAAGGTAATGGAAGCTTTATTCTTAGAAATTTTAAAACAGCTGGATCGAACAATATCAAATTAAAAGACAGCACTCCAGTAACATCTCTCATTAATATCTTGCTTTTAAAGTAATGGTGGGACTTTAAATTAAATGGTAACGAATATGAATAATGGAAACTACCTGCCTCTAATGAAGAAAGGACTTCTGTGGTACCAAGGGATCTGACTTCTTGGTACTTACCAAGAAGTACTGGAAGTACATTCCATTTTTAATTCATTTGGAAGAAAAAAAAAAATATCATTATACATGGTGAATATCATACAAGTTCACAGGGCGTTCCATTAAACAGCTTTAAACCAAGTAAAAAGTATAGTTAGTTTAGTTAGTTTAATTAAAATTATGCCCTGCTATTCTGCTGTAGCTTTTTATACCAGCAGATTTTAACTGAACATTGAAGGAGGTACTTGTTTTGTTTCATTTTCTGAGCTGGTAGTTTAACATAAGTATGTAAAAATCATAATAATGCACGTAGCCAATTGGGAAGAAGCACACCAAAGCAATGCACTAAGCTTGCTGCTTCCAAGCAAAAGAGTCTAAATTCACTATTAGCTAAATCCCATGAACATCTTGCTATCCCTTTTTTGAGCTAGGTGCTTCAGGGTAAAAAACCCATCTACAGGAAAACTGCTCTAGTAAAAGATAGTTCCTTTTGTCAAAGCACAGAAGGAGATGGGTTTAGCAAGTCAAGTTTTTATAATTTAATAAAAAAGTTAATCTAAGTGTTTCCATATTGATGGGCCTTGATTAAGCTCTAAAATTAAGGAAGGTTCACATTTCTATGAAACAGCCATGAACAGCAGAATATAATATATGCTAGAGCAAAATAGCCCATTTTTCCTAGATTGGCAACTGTCACATATTTTTACATAGAAACAGGACACATGGATTACTTATTTCTTATTTGATTTAAAATACCTAATTCCATTAAAATATTACAAAGCAAAACCACTGCATCCGCATGGAACATTTTATCCCTCAATTTTTGATGGGCAAAATGAAATAAAATTCGCCCAGATCTTGTGACTTCTATTTTCTGTTGAACACACACACACACATTTATATATATGCTACACCATTTTGTGTATAAACAACGTAACATGTATAGCATATATCAAAGCAGTTTTCTTTTCACTCAGATTCACAGTATTGTCTATATCATATGACTTGTAACTGTTTAAGTACATCAACTTCAGTTCATTTTACAACTCAGCTTTGTACTCCTTATCCATTTAATCTCCTGCCAAAGCAACCTGACCCTTCTTCCACCCAAACATTAACGCACATTATAAGTTTCAGCTCTTCCTCTTTCTGGAAATTTATCTTCATACTTTGTGAACTTTGTAACTCATATTTTCATCAAGTTTCAGTCAGGACACTCTTATGGGTCTGAGTGGCCGCATTTTGAGTGTGTTTACACTCTTATGTCATGTGTGCTAGAATGACATTATGAACTCCCATGAAAAAAAAGGACAACACGCATACAGTACGTCAATAATGTTTATAACATGTCCTATAGAAATGAAATGGAATTTCTGACACTGCTGCCTTTTTTAGTGTAATTTATTGAACTTGTGGTCACCAATTTGAAATGTTTATACATGCTAAAAGTTCCATTCACCTCCACTGGTTCAGACATGGCAATATTCTCCCTAAGAAAGGATGGCCATTAGGCACAATACAATAACTAATGGAAAGTAGAAGCTCACATTCCACAATCTAGCAAAATACTAATAGAAGACCAGTTTACAGATAAAGAGCTGCAGTTGTCATACATTAAAAACAAACAAACAAAAAACCAAAACAACAAACCACCCTAATTTATCTGCTAGATTTCATTTGTTATTGAGTCAATTAGAGTACTCTCTACTACAGATGACCTGGTGGCTGTCTAGGATTACAAACTGGAGCAGGGACTATGCAGCCCAAAGGTTAGGGCCTGTATCCAGAACTGGGAAAAGAGCCTAACATTCATGGCCAAAAACCAGGAACCAGAAAGTCAAACCAAGGGTCAGCAGCCAGAGATAGGAATAAGTGTCTGCCCAGGAATCATGACCTGAAATCAGAAACCCACAAGAAGAAACTGCAACTGCAGGGCACAGTGCAGAGGTGGTTCTGAAAATATACCCTGTGATGTGTGAGAGGATGCAACAGGGTTCCACCTCAGATCTGCTCCTGAGCCACAGCGGATGTGCTCTGGCTGATGGGTCCAAGCTGCAGAGACCCTGATTTACTACTACAGAAGTTCTTATCACAGATTAGCAAATTTTACCTGAAAAACATGGCAAATAAATCAGCCTTCTACCCTCCAAAACTCCCTGGATGTTGAGAAAGATGGAAACTCTTTTCTCAGTATCACACTTTGTTTAGGTAGATCCATAGAAGGTTTACAGATCTGCTGCAGCCAACCCAGCAGGTTCCAGAGGAATTACACCCACTTAACATTTCTATATATCATACTAAGATGCAACTTCCAAATCTGTTAAGATCAGGAATGAATTTTAAAAAGTTATCAGAATATGACTCCTTAGAGTGTTGGTAATCCTGTGATATTCCTGAGGGCTTTTGTACTATCACTGGAGAGAGGGGTGCCAAATGGTCAGACTGGACTTCTACTTGTAATTCTGCATGCATGAAGCAGCAGTGGAGGAAGGTTGTGTGCAACAGGGCCTGGTGTGACAAATCAAATCAAAAGATACGTAGAACGGTTTGGGTTGGAGGTCATCTGGTCCAACCCCCTGCAGCGAGCAGGGACATCTTCAACTAGACCAGATTGCTCAGTGATCCATCCAGGCTGGCCTTGATAATCTTCCAGGGATGGGGCATCTCTGGGCAATCTGCAATGGTGTTTCACCACCCTCATCATACAGAATTTCTCTCTTATCTCTCGTTTCAACCGACTCTCTTTCCGTTTAAAACCATTGCATCTTGTTCTATCGCAACAAGCCCTGATAAAATGTCTGCCCCATCTTCCTTATAAGTCTTCTCCAGAGGCCCCAGTTCTCTCAGCCCATCTTCATCTACCTTGCTTAGGTATGTAAGGATATCTTAGGAACATTAAGAATTTAAATATGCAAATATTGTGCAGTGGGTCAGAGCACCCACATATTTCTTAGAAAAAAATCATGTTGAGGATTTTGCTATGACCTCACCCTATTTTTCTATGGGAAAGAAAAATATTGTCTGACTTCCCTCATAGCATGTTCTACATCTTATTGACAAATCACTTATGACACTAATTTATTAGCATAGAAATATTACTACACTCAAGACAGCCTGCTTTGATTTACTACAGCAGGGTTTTTCATATGCCAAGGTCCTATCATCTCTGCTGGATCATTAAAAGTCCCTTGGCTTCTATTTTTTTTTTTTTTTTTGTGCAACGTAAGAGTTTTGCCCTGTAGCCCTGGCTAAAATCCTGAGTATAGGAATGGATTTGCTGCTCAAAGGAAGATTCACTGTCCTGCTGCTTAGGATATACAGGATGTGTTCATCAAATCCAACTTTACATTAGCTACTTGCCATAAAAGTCAATGGCAAAGAAGGAAAAAAAAGGGGGACATAAATGCAGAAAAGTAAAATCCAACCATTAGGACAAGATGCGTAAACTGCAATGCTGTTTTATCCTCCTTGTGTGAAATCTACATTTATGACATTCCAAGGGAAGGAATGCAACTAAAGCCATCTATCCCTTCCCATACAGTTAGCATTCCAGGGGTTGATATCTGGTTAGTTTTGTGAAAACATCAACACCACTGTAAAGAAGCTGGGTCTAATGGCTGTATCTAGAGGCACCTGCTGAATTCCACAGAGATGTGAAGCACTGTAAGAGTCAAGAGTCTTTTTGCCATCACCATTATATTACAAGGAACCTGGGTGGCCAACTTCATAAACTGTTGTTCCAAGTTTTTTTCCCTCTCTTCCATGGCTTCATTTCACAAGCAGTGACTGACTACTGGTCCTAATCAAAGTAAGCAAGTCCTGCGTCACCAATATTCCAGACTACAGGATTCCATTCAGAAAACACGTTAAAAATAGAAAACTTGAGACTGAAATAAAAACTTAAGTTCTGTCCCTCACATAAATTGATTTGGTATTTTGAAAAAGAAATCAAAGTCTCAATGACCTAAAGCTCGTGGCTCAGATGAAATCCATAGAAAACTGGCTTATTTTTAATTTAAGGATCTTTCCTGGAAAAAGAAAAAAGTACATCTTAACACCTAACTGAAGCTAACCAATTATTTTATCTTGTCTCCACTTCTTCTGAAACCAAATAAGCCCAAACAATCTCACTGTTACTTAAAAATGAGCTATCAAAATGGGATGTGAATAAAAAAAGTGGACACATTTTTACATCCTTCTTGCATTCTCTGAGTTTTTAATATATATTTCAGCAAATGCTATTTTAGCTGTAGCAATAAATATGAGCACCTGTTGTTTGTGTACCTACCAGTCTCTCAAAAAGACCAGTTCATGCTAAAATATCATTCCAAAGACTATGTTCGTATTTTGTCTGAAAAGTAAACAATCCATCTCCTGACAAGGAAACAAGTCTGCTTGTCAGCACAGAAAATAAATGCATGGCAATGCTATATACCCAGCATAAAAAACAGCACAGAGTTTTGAAATAAAAATGAATATATCAAAACAGCCTGTGTGTATAAGTTCAATTAACGTAAACAAGCAAAAGCTAGTCAGTGAACAGTTCAGCTGCATTATGGAAAACAGGCTACACACCTTGAAGCCTGTGAGGAGCACACTTGCTCCTCTTTGCAGGAGCACACCACCCACCAGCAGGGCTGATAAGGCACTGAAATATTTTGATGTTTTGCCCTCCCTCTCCCCCTCCAGCAGATATGGCAGCCCAGTGGAGATACCCAGCTGCGTCAAGCGGCCGCTGGGGAGGCGAAATCTTCAGCAGGAACTTTGTACCCGGAGAGATGGAAAAGTCAACACGGCTCATTGTCACATTAGGGAGCTGCTGCTGTCCCAGGATTGCTGAGATACTTGGCAAGACAGACTGGGCAGCCTCTCTGTCTGCCCGACGGCGTCTGCCCTGCTGCAGATTTGTCATGCGGATCATTGAGTTGAACCGAGCACATAAATTTTCAGTTATGACGAAAAAGTTAGAAAATTCTCTATCTGTGCTGATAGGCAGGGAGCACTTTGGGGAACAAGAGCAGGAGCAAAGGATCACTCCCAGAGTGTGACAGTGACTTACAGAAAGGAAGAACAAGCTAAAAGCAACACTGGTGAGAAATTAATTCAATGTTAACTCCATGAGATCCTTCTACATTCATTCATTTTCCAGTCAAAACATCATTAAATATTTAAATCACTCCCACCATAGGTGGCAGTTTATTGAGATTTGATTTTGAGAGCTGAGAGTTCAGCAAACCAAAAGCTTCTACCACAATCTCAACACTGAATTTAAAACCAGCATCTTCACAATAAACCACTGATCTCCACCCGTAACTATGGCAAACCAGCAGCCAGACACACAACAGGGAGATCATGAAGAACCCTCCACTTAACACAGAAGCAATATGAATCTGGATTTTTCATATAAAATCTCATGTCAGACAGAAAGACCAAGAACAATAAGGTTTTGTCATAATAAAGGCTCAAACTTTTCTTATATCATATATTTTATATTATGTCTATCATAATCCACATGTTGTAAGCAAATTTGGGCATTTCAGTCTTTTTTCTTTTCTTAGTAAAGCTTATTTTCAATCAGTACTTTACACAGTGCAGGCCGTGCTCTACAACTGAAGTGCAAAAACCTGAGCTTCTTGCCAGGGAAAGACTTAAACCTGAATATGAGGAAACAAACATTACTTTTTGAACAACCCTTTTGCATAAGTTTGTCAAAGTCCTTATACAGTAAATATATATACTTAATTTTAGTTCACTCTTTCCTTCTAAGTTTGTAACAATGTGTATAACTCGTCTAAAATGCCCTTGTTTCATTATTAACAACATATAAAATAGTGAGCTACTCAGAAACCTCTTCTAATTTTAACATTTACCTGAGGTACTTTGTATTTTACTTGAAATATGATTTTTTTTAAAAAATTGGCAAAGTCCTAGTGTGCAAACAGTTTTACTGAATGTGACGCCAAATGATCAATGTCAATTTGCTTTAGAGAGCACTCTAAGTATCTCTACAAGCACCTTCTTGCTGATATAACACAGCCTACATTAGGAAGAAGCAATGGGTGGTGGAAAGTTTGCCTTAACTACCCCAGGAGAATAAAGCAGTAAAATTTTAGCTGCAGACAAGCCTCTTACTCTATTCAGCCAGTGTGGTCAAGACTGAATGAAGAAGAGACTCAGAAAAGAAAGCTCTGAAGAGGAGAGCAAAACCAAAACAATAATGAGAAACAAACAAAAATGTCTTTTGGAATCTTCTGGCTTTTTTTCAGTATTCCTGACAGAGGAAATCCCCCTGCATTTTCTTAAGACACCTGTATTTTCATGAGAAGGAGGAAGCTTGATAGGAGGGCTTTTCTGATAGCCTTACCTGGAGGGGTTTGAAACAGGGACTGGGGAGTGTGTAAACTGAGAAGAAAACATTTCACAGGCACGGATTCTTAGTGGAAAGATACTAGTTCCCAGATTAAAAAAATATCCTGAAAATCATATTTGCATGCATACACCTTTTTCTGGCCACTTTTGTTTTCAGAAGGGGCAATAACACTCTTCTCTTTTAAGAGTCTCAGCACCTTGAATAAATTCCAACTTTTACTTACCTGTTAGATCTCTCTCAATGTTAGGATCCTAGCAGATCTGCAACCAGCTAGTATGGCACAGTCCTTCTCTGGGATCTGGTTCTTGGTTCAGGCAGGCAACAGGTGGGATGATTCCCAAACTATCTGCTGAGAAAGCAAATAGGCAGCTTCAAGCAAAAGCAGATATACCCAGGCAAAAATTTAAACTATAACAAAAAGGGGGGAAAAAAAGGAGAGGAAAAAAAAAAAAAGAAGCAGAAAACTGAAAACAAGAATTGAGCTGCAAGTAATTTTCCTGTTTATTCTTGTATTTCTAACTGAAGCCAGGTGACACAGGCACATGAGACTGTGATGAAAAAAGGGTGAGGGGAAGGCAAGAGGGAGATGCAGACATTCACCTATCTGCTTCAGTGGAGCCAACAACCAGCATAGCTGCTACCCTGCAAACCCAGTCCCTGTTCCTGTTTTGCTTGATTTGGACTATGTACCTGAACTTCAGCCTACTGCCCTGGCCCATGAAACCTCACTAACCATGGGCTATAGGCACTCTCCTCCTTCCTTCCGTTATACCTTACCCTGCAAATATATTATTAATAATATGTGGTCAATGCCAAGAGAAAAGAATGAAGGAATCCCACTCCATACAGTAGTAATGGCCTGACAAGGTTCATCTTTTCAGATGAGGCAAGCCAAGGCTCAAATCTGTAGTCGTCACCCAGAAGAGCTCTATCACCTGAAACACTTTTATCAGTGCAGCAAGAAATGTACATATTTTATAGCTGTTAATTTAATCATCTTCTCCCCACCTTTTGTGTATTTTCAGTTGCCAAAAGTGCTGGGGAGGGTAGTGACAGTCAGAGTTTCATAGGAAACAAAGATTCCAAGGCCAGGTATAATCAGCCTGGCAAAGAGAGGCCAGAGACAAAATGTTACTCACCATTGCTGCTATGTCAGGGATTTGCAGCAGTGCAGAGCAAATGAACTGATTATGGATGTGCTCTGCCACAGTCACTACTTCCAACAATGGCTCAAAGACTTGGTCTGCTCACTGTAGAGCTTGCATGCAGACAACAAAGAGTAGCAGCAAAAATACCCTCTAATATTCCTGAGTTTCCACAGGTGCAGTTCCTGTTATTTCTATTCCTCAGCATTCTCCCAGGAAGGGCTCAGCCATTGTAACACATCATTTTGGATCTTTCTCCCAGGAAGGCCTCAGCCATTATAACACATTATTTTGGACCTGCGGACCTTGGCTGACCTTTTTTTCCCCCCACTTCTTTTTAAGCACCAAGTACCTCATGCTCTCTCCAAGTCCTCACAAGCTGTGGTCTGGAGTGCTCACTGTAGGGTCCTTGTTAGTTTCTTAAATATATTGCTTAAAAGGAGAAAGTCAGACTTAAGTGATAATAAAAGCACAGGACTAACCCACCAGAGGAAAGCTCCTCTGGTGTTTGGTGGACTCATGAATGTTTGCAGGAAAGAAAAAATCATTGTTTCTAAACGCACAAACAGAACTCATGTTTTTAGCTACTGCAGTCTTCCCATGAATCCTGGTTTTAATCGTGGCTCTCTGTAATTAAATTTATTGAACCCAGACATACAGCAGCCGTGATACAACGGGGGCAGACTTCTGATGTCTGAGAAAGTTTTCTGCACACGCCTGTTCCTTTCAGTGAGGTGAGATGACAGCACTCTGCTCAGACCTGCGGCATGCTGTGGGCACTGAGCACTGATGACTTGGTTTACCACCCATGGTTTATCATCCTTTCCATGATAAAGGATGTGGCAACAGATAGGAAACTTTCCTCTATCTGTAATACAGCTACAGCATTACCTGAAATATAAATTCCTCCAAGGGTGTTTGTACCAGCCTTTGCTCTCAGCTGTCAGTCTCCATTCTCACTCGGGGTCTGTGCTTGGGTACAGCAGCCTTTGATATGACCACAGCTAATCAAAAAAGCTGCACAGGTGGGTTTTCAGCCCTTATGAATAAGAAAGTTGAGGTTAGCTTCGAAAAAGCCTCTGAAGGAGGTGAAAAAGGAGGATTTGAAAGCAGGATATCCAGATGCATTAAGTTCTCTTCACCCCCATGGTGTGGAACACCGTTACCGTGACACAAAGGGAACACAGGGACTCGCTTTTTTTTTTTTTCTTGTTTCTTTTTTTAAAAGAGTTGTTTCATGTCTTCGGATATATAGAATTAGCTGCTCATTTTTCCTCATTTAAGTACATCTCAGGAGGAAGGAGAACACACATGGGCACTACTTCCCACATGCATCATTTTCCTACTCTGCTCCTTCAGAGGGGTTTGGTGAGGTCACTCCATTATGCAGCACATTATTTTTAAGCACTTCAGCGACTCCTTCCAAAACGCTCCCTCTTTAATGAAATCTGACACAACAGAAAAAGGAAGGGGAAGTTTTTGTTGGTTGTACTTATAATCTTAAGTTGCTTATCCCGAGTGTGTCAGACAGCAGGGCCATGGGGCCAGCACTGACCTCTGAGCCTGGGCCGGACCTTGCCCCGGTCAGCTCCATGGCAGGAGAACTGGCAGACTTTGAACCCAGGCTCTGGGGCTGTGAGCAGGGGAACAGCTGCACTTTGCAACACGAACTTTGTACTTCGACACATGGACATTTAATCTCCATAAAAGAGCTTTTGTTTCATTACTTATTAACATCTCCTCCTTGAGTAAAGTTCTTTGTTAATGAGGCTTTAGAGCATGGCGTGAGGGTTTTCTCCCCCACCTCTCTATGCCCAGAAAATAAAACCCACTGCCCACCATGATAGGGTTACATTAAATGTTAAAGAGTACAAAAAAAAAAACCCCCTCAATTTAAGACTTTATGATCCTTCTGAATACTGTGGATATTTGCTGTGTGCTCTATTCTCAGTTATCAGTTCTAATAACCAGAGCTAAATACAGAAATCAGGCAATGTTCTAAGGCCTGTCTTTGCAGAGATCACTTTTTGAGATGATACCTACAGTAATTCAGCCTACAGCGACATTCAACCTTACTTAATAAATCAGCTAAAAAGATGAAATAGTAGAAAAGTGTCAGCCCATCCACACTAAAAAGCCATACTTTATGACAGTGTCATGAGTTTTATAGTTGCACTGCTTTTTGCTACTGGTTTTACTTTGGAGCGATGTCAGTGCTTGGCTTCTGTGTATTTCATCATAAAATATGCTAACATGCACAGCCCAGCAAATTTGAAGAGAAGACATTTGTGCCCTGTCCTTCACTATAATAAATCTTTGATCAGGAACAGAAACCTACCTAAACATCAAATGAAAGCCTCAAGAAAGACGCCACCCAAGATGCTTTAATCATTTCTGTACCAACAGTAAAAGCTCAAGATGCTTGTATGCATTTACTGTAACAAAACCAAGGGACAGAAAAGTACTGGAAGATCCTGGTAATGCGCCATTATATTTGTGTTGTCATAAAAATATGGAGCAGCAAAAGAAGATTAAGAAAGTAAAGGTGTACAGAACAATTCTTCATCTGCAACGACAATAAAACAAATACTTGAAAGTATAATATTTGTTACAGCCTGTTAGAAATAAATTATCCATAGACAGAGGGATCACAGTCACACTCTTCCTATTTTTCATTACTACTGTCTTTTCAACATGAATTTCCTTCCATGCCTCTCTGATGAGCTTGTTTCTCTTCCTTGTGATAGGGGAGGCACCCTCACACACACCTGACCCAGTTTTCCTTCATTTTCATTAACAGTATGATACAAAAAAGGAAATTTCCAACTAGTCTAGCAAGTCAGGTGGGTGAAGAACCAAGGATGTGAAGCGCTATCAAAGCACTCCCTTGCATGAGCTGGGCTAGCTGGACTCAGAAGCAATCAGATGACGATGGTCAGCTCCCGCTGTTCCCTAAGAGAAGCCCA